TTCCTGGCTGCCCCTCCGGGAAGCGTGGGTTTCCAGGTGGATAGCCCATCACTCCATACCCCCTGGGCCCTGGTGGCCTTGTCACAGCTATGGATGGGGGAGGAAGGTTTCCTCCTCTGCTTGGTGGGGGATGGTGACCATTTGGGCCAGTGCCTGGATGCTGGAGTGCCTGAGAGCAACTGGTTTCTTGTGGCTGGCCTGTCTTCTTCGCTTCATTGCCGCTCTGTCCTTTCTTGTTGTCTGAAACGTGTTTGAAGAACAGAGTTAAAAAAATGAATGCGCAAACCAGAAGTTCCCTGAGAGGAAAATCCTGCAGCCATCTGGTGACTGGTGAAAGTCTGGGGCCTCCTGTGCCAACACCCTGACCTGTATCTGGGACAATACACCTCACCTTTGCTCCGTGTTTTCCCTCCAGTCATTTCTGCAAGGCCCCACTAGAGGAAAGTGGAGGCCTATCCTGAGCACCTAGAAATCATCTATAAATTACAGTGAAGGTAGCAATTTCAAAATTTCCAGCGTAAAGGTAACAGTGTGCAGAAACCTGCAGGACAGACCGACACCTGCCTGATCAAGATAGCCTTCCTGCTAAGTATTGCTGCTGTACTGTGTTCTCACTACACCTCCTCTGTGTGAACCTGGCAGAGGACAAATTTGGTCATGAGCAGTCCTGTATCAATGAGATATGATAGGACGGTGCTAGATTCGGACCTGACTGGTTTGTGGTAGGTAAGAGGGACCACTGACATTCAGACCAGGCTTTAAGTGCTTCTTTGCAAGGCTGGGATCTTGTGATTCATTATAGCTCTGTTACAGGCTTTTTTACTTTGGTGTTGTTTGGTGTGGCATAATATTACAGTATTTATTAAACGAGCCAAAGACAGACAAATAGATTGGAGATTAGGGTAATACTTGTAATTCAGTATTGTGAATATCTTTCAGGAGATCATGACAGAGGAAGCAGCTACGGCAGCGAGGAGGGCTATGGTCTGGTGTATTTGAATTTCTTGTCCTAAGGAGTTCAAAAGAGCCCTTGCCTTCATTTGGAGTGGGTTCCTCTTGTTTGCCTCCTTTTTGCTTCAGCTGTGGTGGTTCTGTCTCAAATGGATTTTCCTCCTGTTCATTTGATTTTTGTGCCTTTTGTTTATTTCTTCTTTTATTTTCTTCTGCTTGCTGATGATGCGGGGAGAGAGAGGACATCTTTCAGTGACCTGAACAGCTCCTCTAACACTTAGTAAAACAAAAAATCAGTCATTCTCTATTCCTTACACTTTGTAGCTTCTTTTTAAGTTCCAAGTTAGCTTCCTTGTAGGATTTCGATGTAGCATTGAGATAATAAATACTGAGGCTAAATTTAAAGAAAAATAATTTCTTGTTAAGTAGTGATTTAAATATAAAGACTCTGATGACATTCCTATAACAACTACAATTGTGCTAATATAAAGTCCATATCTTTTCCTCATTTATCATGCCTAATCAGTAGTAGTATATTGTCAACAAAAAAATATGCATACTTATAGTATGAAGGCACTGTAATTTCAGGGGGAAAAAAAAAAAGCTGAGAGTCATTAATACCCTACATTCAATTTTACAGTAGTTAAGGAAGATGTTCCATAAAGCTATGTCTTACTATGAATCATATTCTAAAGAATAACTTATAAAAGTTAATTAAATTGTATGACTTATCTTAAAAATGAGTAAATCTTGTTTATAAAAGCTTTTGAGCTAATACAATAGGCAATCTCGAGTACTGAAAAAAAAAAAAAACAGCCAAAAGCAAAGGTTTTAATTTTTGTTTTACATTATGACCTTTCTTCTACTAAACAAAAACGTAACTGCATAATGCAATTTTCACTTTTTCAATGTATCGTATTGCTTTTGTGATAACTCTGTGAAATCAGAATTTATCACTACCCTGATTTAATTAAATTCTGATATGAAGTCTTTACTGATGTAAGCCGTAAATAATTACTACACATACACTGTAATCTCTGCTTTGCCTGATTTTGCCTTGTATTTTCCTTCATTTTTTCTTTTCTTTATTAATTTTTGTTTCTTTGCCTTAGATGATTCCAAGAAAGGAATAATGCTCAAAAGGGGGGAAAAAAAAATGAAAAAAAAAAGAAACAACAGTAGCAGTTGACCATGTATTCAGTCTGGATTCTTTGTTTTTCTAGCCAAGTTTTTAAAATAGAATACCATGTTAAATTTTATAATGTTAAGTTGCATTAACTTTTAATTCATCAGGATGATAAATAATCCAATAAATGTATACATCAGTTTTAAATGCCTTTCTGAAACAAGACACAACACAGTCTCTGAGAAATACTGTTCTGGGGTCATTATTCTTTACCAGGTACTGACTTACAAAAAGTCTCTACTAATCCTATTTCATAAAGTCTCCAACACCCTACTTCACACTCCTGTTCCAACAGCATAGATTTTAGTCAAGAAAAGTCCAGGGCACTGAAAATCAGACTCACTGAAAGTTGTTAAGAAATAATTCTGTTTGATGGTGGTCGTATTTCTGTGGAACTTTCTAATTTATGTTCTGCTATTCTGCCTGCTGGACAAGCTGATTGAAGTCACAGCAGTTCAGATCCCCTATAGACTCTTTCATTTAAACAGCTTTGCCATTATGTTGTGGCATACACATCGTTTTTTAAAATCAACAAGACAGCTAAGAAAGTCATAGAACAAAAAAGAGACATTTTTTTTTGTGCAAAAGTATATTAATTATGATCAAATAAAAGGCTTTTGAATTCTTCAGGTTCCTCACTGCAGGACAATTAACACTATATTTGATGAGATATTCTGTCAGTGGAGATTCAGAGTGAAAGAAACTTAACAGACCTTAGATTAAGCAAGTTAATAATCTATACATACACCATCAGCAATATAAAAGGTAGGATGAGTCCAGGGTTAGAGGCATAACCAAATACCTTCCCAAACCAGGAAGGGAAATCATGCTCCAGAGTTTCTGATATGACTTCAAACATTCTAGTCTTCCCACTATTAAACAGAAAAGTTGACAATGTATCACATACAAATATTATGGTAATGTCAATGTAATAGTATGAATATGCAAGTTAATCACTTCACATTAAACTTGGGAAACAAAATAATAAACTATATGCTAACATTATTTAAAACTTGACACCGAATTTAAAATACTATTTATGTATTTTAAGGGTGAAAACAGACACCAATATTTTTCCTGTATACCAACTATTTTTACCTGCATTTACCACGATGATTTCTTTTTACAGAATTAGCATATCAAGTTGTGAACTCCATAGCACAAAGAAAAAACCAAAGATTAAAATACATTTTGTGTCCTATGAAGTCCTGGTGAAAAATTCAAATATCATCTTTTTATTGTTGATAAACAAAAAACCAGTCGGCATCTGTAACGATGCTATAGAAGTCAGTTGTTTTGTTTTAAGAGATTTTCTTATTGTTACAGTGATCTAGTAACCTTCTGCTTTTCTTGCAGAATTATTTTGACAGATATTCCAGAAGTTCCTTTCTGTTTATTTTGCTTTTGGCTGTGCCTTACAATGTAGACTTTGAAGATTTTTACCAGAATAAGACCAGCAAAATGGGTTTTTAAATGTGTTGAAACTAATCGGAATCGGTAGCTTGAGTTGGTTAAAGGAATTGTCATCAAATTGCCACTTGATATTCCAGTCATTAAGGTCTCCTGTCACCTCTTTTCAGCTCTTGTAAAGCATTTCTGACAACCAGGGCTTTTTCTTAACTCATTGTTCTCAATGTTTACTCTCTTCCTAGTAATGTAAAAAAGTTGCAGGTAAAATTATTCTTCAGACTAGTTCTTTCTTTCCACTTTCCCCAGCCACGCACAGTAGATAAGAAATTCCACTCTGCTCTCCTTATCTTTTCCCCAGCATGTACAGAGCTTCTCTTGTTGCAACTTTGCTAATTTTGTCCTGGTTTCCCTACTCCTGTCAGGTCTCTGCTGAGTTATATATATTGCCTTTAATGATCGATTAAAACAAAATAGAAAAAATAAAATCACAAGTTTCATAACTGATGAGACATGGAATTACCAAAAGGAAAATATTTTCTTTTTTAATATAGAATCATGTACTGCCAATATTTAGTTTACTGGCTGCTCAGCAGTAGCATTACCTTTACCCAGATTGAAAGAATCTTCATCAGCTTCAAGTCCTCCTCCATTAAAAGTTACATAGAAAAGTTTATCTTTTTTAAGAAGAACAAAGTATCTCTGCATTTGACAAACTAAAAGGCACTACTGCCTTTCCCATTTTGAACAGTAATCTTATAATTCAGTAATATCCTATTCAATAACTGCTGCTACTTAGATCTGACTCCAGATGTCTCCCTCTGTACTTTCTTTGCTATGACTCAAATAAAAAAAATCTTACTTTGCATCAGTTGCTTTATTATCATTGTTTCTGTAAATTCAAGCAATTTTCTGTTTCATCAGAATTTTTAGTATGTCATGCAATTCTCCCTCTTAGGTGACTGTGACTAATGGCAATGGCTAGAAATGATCTCCTAGATATTTTGCCTTTGACAGAAAGTACTCCTTTACAAAATGCACTGGGTATTATGCAGATATTATTTTACTCACAACTGTAGTGTGTTATTCAACCTTTCATTGGAATCAGGATGTCACTCTTACTTTGCTAATACTCTGACCAAAACCAAAGGCTGAAGTATTTTAAAAACTATAATTTCATATATTAACTGTTGTTGGGTAACTAACTCATCATGTCATACTACCTGGCAAGCAAAGATAATTAAAATTGTACTATGTAGTGTACACAAAAGGAGAAAGTGTGAAAACATCTAGTGTGGATGTCTTGAAGACTTCAGAAACAGAATCAGCTCAATAATCATTTCTGGCTTAATTACAGCATTAATGAAACATTTTAGATTACAACTAACTAAAAGAAAAGATTTTCTGTTCTACACTTCAGATAAAAGTTCTAAAGAACTGGTCAGTTTTCTAGGATTCCAGCTGCAAGAATTACTCACAGTAAGAAACATGACATAACTAAACACTCAGCCTATCAGGTGCTAACACTTATTATAGAGACTCTTTTTCATTATAGCATCATTCACTGTAATGTAATGAGGCAGCCCATTACATTAACAACAAAAGACGGATGCAAAATGCAAAAAACCTGAAAGGACCACAGTCAAAAGATGGTGGGATGGAGACAATGGTGTACACCGCAGGCAGTGTGGAGAGAAAGAGGATGAAAAGTAGCATGGCCATGTAGAAGTTATTGGATCTGGAAGCCTTAAAGACCCTCTCCTGCGGGACGTTGCAGCACATCACTGCCCAGCACTGCAGGTACATTGAAGTGTGGAGGCGGAACACATTGATTGCTGGGAGACATGGAGCATAAAAAGATCCCATCCTAGAAAAGAAGCAAAGAAAATAAATAATTAAATAAATAATTAGATAGATAGATAGACAGACAGATAGATAGATGGATAAACCAGTTTGTTGTAAGACTTCTGTCTTCCTACCTATGCTACACATCCCTTATGCCAATGTGCTTTGCAGCCACACACACTGCATACAGAAATCAAGTTCTTAAAAGCACCTTTGTGGTTTGGGGGTTTTTATTGGTCTTGTCTCTTCAGTCTTGCTTTAAGAATTGAAGGTGTACGGGGAGAATTTTGCAGATGAACTTTATGGTTTAAGTGTACAAATTCCTCTGCCTCTACAAATTAAATTATCACCTGATGAAATGTTATCCACTCTTAGTTTGTCCCTTTAGTCCAGGTAGCATCTCACTTGTGTTCCATAAAAAAATATAGCCTTACAGCTAGCTATTGCCAAAATAATCTAGCTTATTATTATATATGGTTGCATAGTTATGACACTGAAACAGCTGGGACCATTTTATTTTTATCACACTTTATTTCTTGTGCCATGCTGATTGAAAGCAATTACTTTCATTTGCTTGGCCAAAAGACACAGAACATAAGAGATCAGGAAACTTATTTTTTCTTAATAATTGTCCAGGTGACCAGGGCTGAGCTACATTGCTTTGCAGTGCCACAGTTTCTCTATTTAAAAAAGTAGGAAATAGTTCTACATGGTTGGAAAAACCTGAGTACAGAAATATTGTAGCAAAACTGTAGAGGCCAGGTGCTTGCTCTAATAAGCAGTTGACAGAGAGACAAGATTCATCTATGCAGCTTTTTACTGGGTAATCTTACCAGCTCATTGCAAAATCCTGATCTATCTGGTCCCATAATCTTAGCTAAGAACTAGTTTTGAAGTGGTCCCACTGATTACAGTATACCAGAGTTTGATATATTTTGCATTACACTTCTATCAAATTAAAACAATTTGACGTGATCAGTATTTCAGAAGAATCTTTCACAGATAAAGCTACGTCCTGCAGCCCTGCAGATACAACATGCTTTGGCACACCTACCAGATCATGCCTTGATTAAAGATTAGTCCCAGCACATTTCCACTTATATCGAACTCAGAATATGATGGCTGAAAGAAATAATACAACCATTTTCATTAAACATCAAAGGGTTTAAGATCACTTACAGTAGATTAAAACTGCCACTTCAAACAGCAACAGCATACTGGCACTGTGTTGTAAGGCTTCTTGTTGCATCTTATCAGTGAATCAAATTAATACGAATCAAGGCCAACAGGCAGACTTTAATATAGCTTGCGGGTATTTACTGAAAATCTTTTTGAGATATGTTCAGAGGAAGGTGCTAATGCAGAATTAAAAATACTCCTGGGTAAATTTTAAAACAATAATTTACAAATGTTTCATTCAAGTGACTAGTGGTGGTCATTTAATGTGTCCCCCCGGAAGAGTACAAGCCATGAGGCTCCTATGATTTAATTCCTGTAAAACTACAACACTTTAATTAATATTTTAAATTTCACTGTTGAAGAGTTCTTCTAAATCATTGGTAGATGTTGCCAATCACCTTCCCCGCTTAATATAAATATCTTACATCTAATTTGAGTGTATTTGATTTTTACTTAAAGATTCAGCCATGCAGTCTCATTATCACTTTATCTGCTGAACAAAGCACTGTATCATAAATTTTTGTTTCCAGTATAGACACATAATGATCATAAACAAATAATTCCTTAGTCTTACATTCCTAAACTATTCATCTTACACTTTCATTCTGTTTTTTGAAGTCTTTAATCATTTCCACATGTCTTCTTTTATCTTACTTATTAGTCTCTAATTCATTAACTCATCTAGCTGCAAAGACTGAACACACTGCATTCAAACAACAATTGAAATACACAAATACATATTTTTTTGTGTGCATATGGACCAGAACAAAACTTTCTGGAAAGAAATTGAGACTGTGAACTTTTGGATTACATCTAAGCATATTATTCATCTGGCTGTGCCTTGTCACTAGATGTTTTTTAATCTGTTTTTTCATAAAGCAGAGTTTTGACACACTGTAGCTGGTGAACTGCATGATTCACCATGGTGGGTCGACAAAAAGATGATGAATACTGTGTTTCTTCTGGGTATTAACCAGAAGAAAGGACATGAGATATAAAACTAGCTATTCCCTTACGCCTGAATCAAAACAAACTTATTGTATTAAAATTGCCAAGTAAAGTCACAATTTTGAATTATATTATGGTACAGTGTTGAGTATTTGGAGCCCAACACTCTTTCTGCATAGTTTTGCATATATGTGTATATTTTTACAGAAAAGTGATATATTTATGTTTCATGTATTTATTAATTTGCTTCTATACAAGGAAAGATTAAATAGGTTACTAGTATTCATCCTGGAAAGTAGTTGGCTGAAGAGAGCTGTAGAGAGGGATAGAATATCTAAGTGGCATGGAGAGACTAATAGTATCATATCATGAATCCATAACATGAGACTGGTTTTCATAGCATACAGGGTAGCAATAACAAATAAAATAATTTTAAATTTAATTTTTAAACTGGCAAAAGCAAGTGTTTTTCCACATAACATGCAAGTTAATTTCTGGAATTCTTTGCCAAAGGATATTTTGGTCATAAAAACGTTCACAGTATAAAAATAGTCAAAAACTTGATGGATGATAAGCACATCACAGCCACTAACCATAGCCATACAGGTATAACTACTTCCTAGGGGAGATTTTAAGCTCAGGTATTTTCAGAAGTTCAACTAGTTCCATTTTCCACTTCCACTTCTGGCTGTTGCTTCAGGCATCTTACTGGACCTGAGGACCATAATGGACGAGACCATTATAGCCATTCTTATCTACTGCCAAATAAAATTGTCAACAATAAATTTGTCTCAGCATCTCCTACCAGCAGATGTGTTTTTGAGACTTTGAGAACAATAATATATCATGGAATTAAGTGTCCCCTCATTGCTGGATTAAAATGCCAAGAGGTGGATACTGGTCTCTTCTCAGAAGTACGAAGCGATAGGTCAAGAGGAAATGGACTCAAGTTGCACCAGGAGAGGTTTAGATTGGCTACCAGAAAAAAAAAAAATATGTACTGAAAGGGTTATCAAGCTCTGGAACAGGCTGCCCAGGGAAGTGGATGAATCACCATCCCTGGATGTGTTTAAAAGTCATGTAGTTACAGTGCTTAGGGATACAATTTAGCAGTGGATTTGGCAGAGTAAGGTTAACGGCTGGATTCTTAAAGGTCTTTTTCCAACCTAAACAATTCTATGATTCTATGATTGGCAGGAAGAAGGGTGTTATCTGTGCAGCTTTTTAGTCCAAATCTTTAATTAACGTTCTTTGCTTTAGAGACTCTGTTTTATTGATTAGATCACTGTATTATATTCCATTAACATTCTTAATGGTAACAAAAGCCAGAGGAAAAAGTGTATCTGAAGTGTTAATGGATGAATGTGTGCATCTTCATTTGACAGCTGGCACACCCAGTTCAAGCCAAACTATCCTAGGGTTCACTGCGTAGCTTCCAACACCAGGAGACTGAAGGCATCTCACAAAAAAAAATAGATCAAATAGCCCCACCCAGCTGTTCTGTACACCCAGGATCATCTCAAACAGCACTAGGCACCTGTGGCTGGGCAGGTCATTCAACAAAGTCCCTGCATAAAAGAAAGCTGATTCAGAGTATATCACAATGTGAAGAGGCTTCAGGAAGCCAAAATGGAAGCCAAATCATGCTGTGTGAAAAGTCTGCCCTACTACAGTCTTCAGAATAGCTTTCATGCATGCATTCATTCATGGTCCTTCATTGATGGTGGATATCCTGAGAGGGAAAAGAACCAGGCTATCACCTCAACATCTTTGGAAAATATGTCTGAGCTATTTCCTGACAGATGTAAGGCTGACTACAATGATTTCCAATATCCACATCCGCAGTATGTTCCCCACATCTAGCATTAGCTACTGCTAATGTGCAGTGGGACATCTGGAAATGTGAGGATGCTTCAGATACAATTTAAGTATTGAAAATACATGATTCCACAATCTGTACTGGCTCTCCCCTCATGCTGTATTCAAATTTCTGCATTTGATTTTGATATTGACTTGTTTGTCCACAACTTGGCCAACAGGTAGTCATTGTCACCAGTGCTACACCAGTCCTGTTTGAGACACATAACAGAATTAACAGAAAGAAACTTAAACCTTGCTACAAAGACCAAAATTTCATAGGACCCAGCCAATAGCAATGAGATTGTTATACCAGAAAACTTCTTTTTTTTCTATAGAAGACACTAAAATCTCTTCCTCCTCTGGAAAATTGTCATTTCCCAAGAGGCTACATTTTGTAAAAGAAGACATTTTTTTATGTATTAAGGTAAAATTTTAAGGAAAAGAGAACAAAAAGATGGCAGAACAGCTGCAATGGCTGCTCATGAAAATGTATCCAAGATAGCTTTAAATGACTTAGCTCTTTTCCATACCTCTTAGTAAGTAAAAAAGAGGCTTCAGGAGCTTTACAGGTTTGCCCATACCCCGACTACTGCTTAAAAAAAAAAAAAAAAAAAAAAAAGAAAAGCAGCATCAGGTTTTTCAGGACAGTTATTTTAGCAGGCTAAGTTAACCTAGCCCAGCTCTGTATAAGGGAGTAAAAAGTTGCAATTCCCAAATGAAGAGGTCTGCACCTGCTTATGTTATGTAATTTAATAACATTATTTCAGCTAAACTAATTCTAGGAAAAAAAATATATACTAAGATTTCTAGAACAAGTTCTTCCATATTTTTCTCCACAAATACTGTGTACTAGAAGACTATATCTAAAATCCTGTAGATTCCAATGAGAACGTGGAACAGAGGATGTGTTAAAAAAGTTTACCGAGTTGTGCTGGGTTTGGCTAGGATTGGGTTAATTTTCTTAAGAACGTGGGAGGGCCCACAGCCAGGGTAACGAAACAAACCAGCCAATGAGCTGTTTGATACCATACTGACACCATGCCCACTGTATAATCGTGAAGCTAGGCAGTGGAGGGGGAAAGCATGTGATTTGAGAAGGTTCTGAGGAGCCAGGGAGAGATGTCCAGGTGGTGAGCAGTTATACTGTGTATGACTTATTTTATATATTATTTAATCAGTATTGTTGTTATTACTGCTGTTTCTTCTCTCTTTGTGTTTTTCTATTAAACTGTCCTTATCTCAACACATGGGGTTTCACCTTTTTCTCCTGATTCTCCTTCCCATCCCACAGGGCAGGGCAGAGAAGGAGCAAGTGAGCAGCTGCATGACAATTACTTGCTAGCTGGCACTAGACCGCAACACCTGTTTTAACAGACGCTCAAATAAAATTAAAAAAAAAGCACATCACGTTTCCTAAAGGAACCAAAGTCTGAAGAACAAGACGAATATTAAGGCATAAGCAAGTTATGAGAAAAACTGACACAATGTTGTTCAGGGATTTTGAAGGTGATGTGCCTATCCAACAGTTTACACTGTAGGATTGTAAGGAAAATGCAACTTACTACAAAAATGTGAAGTGATAATTTGACAAAAAAAATTTAAAATAATAAATCAGATACTTACAAATCCATACTCCAAATCCCAGCACCAGCAGTAATTGAAAAACCTAACGAAGACAGCTCTCAAGAAATCACCAATTAGAATTGTGATATATGTTGTCATCGTGTCAGAGACTGTCAGCCGCACAAATTCCTGTTAGAGTGATATTTTCTTTTAAGAATATATTTAAGCACTAAATAATTATAATAATAATCAAATACAGAACTAGATACCTAATTGCACTTACCCTGCTTCAACATGGGGAATAGTCTGCTCCTCCTCTACATACACCGATTCTGAATGCCAAGAGAAAAACTGCCCCTTATTTGCTAGAGGTATCCTCTGATCTCATTTGTGATCATATTATCAGATAAGACTTCAAGGGCATGCTTAGACTAGGAAAGTCTTCAACGCAAGATTGCTGCTGTAACAGAAATCTGAGCCAAAGTCTTAAACTGCTTTTGATTCCTTTGACTTTGAGAAGTTTAAAAAAATAAATAAATTACTTTTTATTTCTTGAGGAGAACAACTCCCAGAGAATATGGAGAAAAAAGAAGAAAATCCTAATGGAAATCCTCATTCCTCTACTTCTATTTTAGTAGGTTCCACTAAACCCTACTGCTACAGAACTCACCCCAACAGCTATAAAGGATCTTACTCTCCCTCAACTGTAATTAAGGAGAAAATTGGTGCAGTGATGAACTCTTGGTGTTCCTACCTTATCATTTAGCAGCACTGAAAAGAACAGAGGATCTGTTTTTGCTGTCTGTGTGCTCCCAGTTGGTGATTTATTCAGTCAGAAGGTGAGATTGTCAGTGATAAAGTAACAGCAAAAGTTGTGACTCAGTGGTGAATTAATTTTCATGCTCAAAATTACAACAATGGGGTATGATCAAATACAGGAAAGAGGTATATTAGAAATTTCTTTGGAAATTATATTCTAAGAGGTCAAGAAAAATAAATGTTCCGCTGAATCCAACAAAATGACTGAGTAGATTTACCATTAAACCACTGTTGTTCTTTTACATTATGTTATCTGGCTAAAGATATAAATACTTTCCCAATAGCACACTGCTGTAAGAGCTAACGTACATGCATTTTCTCATTGAGTTAATTTTATTTTTTTCACCCATATGTCTGTTGTAGTCAGAAACTGATATTGCCTGGTCAAAATTCTAATCAGAATTATCACATCTGTTAGGGATTGTGACATATAAAACTTTTCAAAATTGTTAAACAGGTCTTGCAAGAAAAAGGTGGGATGAGAAAGAGGAAGATAAATTATGAGAATAGTGAAAAGTGGGGTGGGGTGAGGGGGCTGTGGTGAGTGGAAATAAATGCTTTCAATGCTGTCAGATACCAGGAGAAACAATTCCAATTAGACAGCATCCAAAGAAAATCAAACAATTTTTCATCAAATTTTAACTTAGGAAAAAGTCCCACATCTGCTTTTCCTCACATTTTCCCCACCTTAATGCCACTTATTAGCAGAAATAAAGCAGGTTTAGATATCATATCTTGTAAGAAATAATGATCTATTTTAAAATATGAGCTCAACGCGTTTACATTACCTGTCCTACCATTGTTTCCCAGCACGGCCCTCTGGGAACATCTGCAGGGTCCACCTGTATTGGAGGAGCAGTTGAATTTTCTGGAATAGTGCCATTGTATAGACTCGCTTCCCATATTGACATGTTATACTTGACTATCTTTTCTTCTTCCAACTAAGTAAAGATGCAAAGTGGGGAAAACAAAAACAAAACAACAAAACCAAAACCAAAACCAAACAAAACCAAACAAAACCAAACAAAACCAAACAAAACCAAACAACAAAACAAAAACAAAACAAAAACAAAACCAAAACAAAACAAAAAAAAAAGAAAAAAAAAACACATGAGCCAGCTCTCAACCTTTTCTACTCCAAGATTCCAAGATTCCCATTACCAGCTCAGGCATGGACATGTTTTTCAGTACAGAAAGAAAATAATGTCTTTCACCATGTTTGGGACTGGTTGGAAATCATCATCCTTACAGAGCTACAGGTTAAAAATAGTGAAAAGAAGTAAATAGCTTGCCTTGAGATTGATTTCATCCATTAGAGCAATAATGAAAGTGTAGAGATTGCCAAGAAAAAGAGCAAAGATTCGTCCCAGCTGCCATCTTAGAGCTATTCGAGGGTGGTAGTTTTCCAGAGAACTGATTACATCAAATAAAGTTGGACAGAACATTCCTAAAAGTGACATAACCATGTTCACCTAAAAGAAGGAAAAAGAAAAAAAAAAGGTTACAGTGTAATGTTAGAGGTAAGTTCTTTTATTACTATTGATTTGGGTGGAGGGTCTATATCCATTACTACTTTTTATTTAGTTTTAGATTTAACGAAAAGCAAAAACCACTCTGGGAGTCACAAGATGTTTTCACAAAGGAAGAAAGAGATGAAAAGTCAGTTGTAATCTACTGCAGGTGGTTATATGACAACTTTTTTTTTTTCATTTTATGTTTCACTTAAACCTCCACAATAATCAAACGTTATTTATTCTGACTAGAACCTACATTTTTAACCAAAATTCTACTGTCAGAGAACTTAGCATGCAATTTCCATTACTTTTCTATGCTACATCTCTACCACGTATTCCTAACAGACACAGATGTTCTATAAAAAGTATTTTTACAAAAATACTACACAAACTTAAATTTATCTGAGCAATCACCTGAAGTTCTATATGTCACAGAATCACAGAATATGTCCAACTGGAAGGGATGCATAAGGATCATAGAGTTCAACTCCCTGCTCCTTTCAAGACTATGTAAAACTAAACCACCTGACTAAGAGCATGGTCCAGCTGCTCCTTGAGCTCTGATAAGTTTGGTGCCACTTCCCTGGGGAGTCTGTTCCAGTGACTGACCACCCTCCTAAAGCCCAATGTGAACGCCTCCTGATGCAGCTTCATGCCATTTCCTTGTGTCTTATCACTGGTTACCAGATTAGCACCTCACTCTCCACTGCCTGCCTTGAGGAAGCTGTACACTGCTGTGAGGTCACCCCTCAGTCTTCTCCAACCTGAATAAACCAAGAGAACTCAGGTGTCCTCCTGAGTCTGGCCTCCTAGTCCTTTCACCATCTTGGTTGCTCTCCTCTGGACACACTTTAGTAACATCAGGCTCAGAGAGTTGTGGTGAATAGAGTTAAATCCCGTTGGTGATGGTTCCAAGCAGTGTCCCTCAGGGCTCAGTTTTGGGACCAGTCTTGTTTAATATCTTTATCAATGACCTGGATGAGGGGATCAAATGCAGCCTCAGTAAATTTGCAGATGATATGAAATTAAGTGGGAGTGTCGATCTGCTAGAGGGCAGGAGGGCTCTGCAGAGGGATCTGGACAGGCTGGAGCAATGGGCTGAGGTCAGTTGTAGGAGGTTCAACAAGGCCAAGTGCTGGGTCCTGCACTTGGGTCACAACAACTCCAGGCAACGCTTCAGGCTTGGGGAGGACTGGCTGGAAAACTGCCCAGTGGAAAAGGACCTGGGGTTGTTGGTTGGTGAATTGTGGATGTTCCTATTTTTTGTTACTTCTAGAAGTGATGAAATGGTGGTGATCAAAATATTGGTTATATTTAGTTAATAATGAATGGTGTAAACTTTTTTTTATCTTAGTCTTCAAAGTATCTAACATAGTTTATAACACATATTCTCTCAGTTACTATTAAACAAAAGACTTTATGCCAAATATGGCCCAATATGCAAAAGCTGCAGGAGTCAACTACAGCCAGCACAACCAAACATGAATTCTGAAAATACAAATTTACTGTAACAGATTGCAGATCCTGTTTATCAATAGAAATGTTCAGTCCTGTGGTGATACTGCTGAATGTCAAACCACAATCTGCACTGACTTTGGTGTCTCAGGACCTTCTGTGGCAAGTTCCAGAAACAAATGTGTGCATAAGTGGAGAAGTTCTGGGTCACACCAAAGGTTGGCCTAGCCCAACGGATGCCCAGGAATAAACAAGAATAGGGCAAATATATGGGAATAATAAGTCCTAGACTCCAACCATAATTGGTTTGAGTACTTGTTCCATTGGGTGTGGGTTTTATATATTTAGTATCCTCAAAAGGATTTCTCTTTCATGTCTCAGATCAGTCTTCTTTCAGATGGATGTTTTGGCATTCACAGTACTGGCCCCCAACAGCTACTGTGTCTTCCCTTTTGCTTTTCTGAATCCAGCTTCTACTCAATTCGTTTGATGTTCCTTAGTTCTTATAATGGAACATGTAGTGAATATGTGTTTTGGAAGAAAAGATGTGCCCTTTGTGCAGTTTTAAATATAGTAACTCTTAACTTTATTTAGAGTTTCTTTGTTGCCTCATGGGAGAAGCTGGACAGAAGTCATTGCTTTTCTTTCTCTTGGAACATTCAGTGTTTTCTGTATTTTTATCATCTTCTGTCTTTTTTACCACTTATCTGAAGCAAGCATATTCTTTCTCTTTTGCTTAGTATCTGCATTATTCCATGCCTTGACTGTTCCTGCTCTTCATTCAAAAGCATTTCTAATTCTGGAGAAAAGGCATTTTTAAAGATAAGAGGTGAAATGAAGCACAGAATCTTGCAAAGCTGAAAAGTGAGAAATTCTTATAACCAAAAATGCAATGTTTTAGTGAGACAAAATGTAGCACACTGAGTTTTTAAAATCCAAAAACTATGAGGAGTTCTATATTTGAAAAGCACAAATAGTTATCATATAGTTTCATAGATATGGTCTCTTTATATTTTTTCATTTTTTCTGAAGGATTTTGCTGAGCAAAGAAACCATCCATCGAATTTTAGCCTCTGTAACCTAGTTTGATTTCAGGAAGGAGCTGATTTATGTTTCGGACTTCTTGCCAACTTTAAACCCAAGTGCTGGAGTAGACTTTTGTCCCTTTTTATCAGTGACAGTTTCACTGATCTGTGTGATTTAGAAACTGTGGAATTACATGCCAGGAGAGGGGCAACCTGCTAGCATATGAGGTAAAGTTATAGTCGATAGCCAATATGGTCATGTATTCACCATCTGCCGAGGAATCAAAGCCTTCTCTGCCCTGATGAGATAGAATTTTCCCTAAGAAAGGAACAACAACCAAGAGGAAGCCACTAATTGTTAAAACTGTGGTTCAAAATACAAGCTTTCATCTCTCTGTGACATTAATTATGCCAGATACCAGGTCCCTCCATTACACTCTGAGAGTTAGAAAATTACAGCTTACACAAGATTTTCCAGCAGCTATGAATCTGGCAAGAAATCCTGTGACTGCAATCACATCTAAACACCAGTTCCCCGACATATTAAGCTGTGTCAATGCAACATTAAATATAGAACATTGACTGCTTGCTGGTTAAATGATAAGTCCATTAAGAGTACGTAATCTGACTAAAATAAATCATATCTTCCACTAACAATGGTTGCAGATTTGTCTAGTATGTGCTGTAGAAAGCACTAACAGCAAACTATTTTTCTAGTAAATTGTTTCATAAAAAATATAAATTAGAAATTATATTTCATAATAATATAAACTGCCTGGTGATTTATAAAATTAAACAGAATATTGACAACATGGGTTAATAACCTGAACATCAATGTACTCCATATCTACTACTAGGAAGATTAAATAACAAGATATTTTTGGCAAAAGATCTGTGCAGTTCAGCTTGCAATATCTGAAATGTTAAAACTATATTTTTTGTTGCTAGAAAAAAAAAAAATCATGTAAAAATTATCTCCTCTTTGCCCAAATCTTGTGAATGATTCTGATTTAGAGAAATCAGTGTGTCTCCTCAGAAATACTCCCTGATTTTAAGTATCTTTGTTTTTAAACTGTACAGGTGTATATTTGAGAAAACAGGGTACCTCAGTACCAGAGCGATGGTCATACTATCTTCTAGCTTTGCAAATTGTCTTTATCAAATAAGAAAAGTCAGTTTATTTCAGCCATCTTCATCCAAATTCAGAACACTTAATCAAGGGAATCAGTGTCGTTGTTCTCCATTTTACCAAAATATCCACATTTATGTGGAAATTGACATATGGCGCAGAATCACCATGCAGCGGTGACCAGCTACCACGCTGCAGCCATGTATGAGGAGCGATGCAAAGTCTGATGAAACCTCTTGACACTCCCAGTCTGCCTCTTTCCATTAATTTCCTGCTCCCTGTGACACCCCAGCCAGCTTTATCTGAACTGTGATCTGACAGAATTAGATATTGCTGATATGGAGAGGGAGTTTATAAATTTGCAACATTAAGACAGAGGAGGATAGTCAGAGAGAAAAAGTTCTTGTCCACAGAGTCACCAGTGGTACTTTATTAGGCTGTGGTTGTCAGGAACATATGAGATAAAAATATATTTACTTTGGATTGGACATCATAATTAGGTGTAAATATTTTTAACCCCCTTAATATATCCAATGCGAAGAAATTTCTTACAAAAGGAGCTTAATATTTTTATCAAAAATGTCATTTTATGATTTTTTTCTCATCAAAACATCAATTTTTCTATTAACAATACAAACAAAAGAGAACTAACTCTAGAAAATAAGAAAAAAATCTAAATAGCTGTTACATAGAAGCCAATCCAGTTATGTAATAAAATATTAGTATCCAATCCAGGGCAGTATTTTGTACCTCACAAATATGTTTATTACCTCTCAAAAGGTAAAAATCTTTAGCCAAATATTGGCAATGTTTCTTAATCACTCTCCTTTAGAGTCACACCTGCTCCAGATCTTAGTTCTCTGATATAGAATCTGTTTAGCAGTATTTGTTCATAAATCAAACAAAAGTAGAATGATGAATGTTTATTCATACATACATTTAACTACTTTCTGGAGTGCAGCCTAAGTTAACAGCTTTCTGTAGCGTAGTTCTTGTTAGCACAAATGTGTTTCCACTGAGAGAAAGCTGAATTTTTCCTGAACTGTCTTTAATTGCTAGTCTGTTGTCACACTTAGACCTCATGTTGCTTGAAGCTAAGCAATTTTGTATATGACTTTTCTTACCCATCATCTCAAAATGTGATCCCTTTTCTCAAGTAATTTAACCCCATCTAAACAGCTCCATTTCTGTGGATTCCAGATGTGGATTACTGGAGTTCTTTATGATACTTTCTCAGTCAGGTTTGGGTGTTGAATATTATGGGCTGACTTTCCTCATTCCATTGTCACCTGTCCCAGAAGCTTTGTGAAGCATCTTTTTTGCCTTACCTTAAATTAGGTATCTACTTTACACTCCAGCTCAGAAGATGAGCTTTAAGGAACGAACAGCTAGTTTTACTACATACCTTGCAGTGGCTTTGCTAAGAAAGAAAAACCTGTCCAGGTTTTCATATAGCAACAGTGACTTCAGGTGCTTACTGCACACCGTTATTGCAGTCACAATCACTATCGCTACACACCTCTATCAGGCAGGGGTACATCTGCTGTAAAAGAAAGCAGATTAAGCACAGAAGCATGACATTCAATGCTTGAAGTGGGCAGTTGGAACTAGAAGGCATGCATTTCATACAGTTGCTACACTGCGGAGTTGTATCCATGAGGCCCCAAATAACTTTTGATATGCCCACACATCAGTTGCTTTGCTTGGGCCACCCTCAGC